CCCGGGAGGTCAAACGGGCCGAGGAGGAGGAGGCTTGGCAGAGCAGTAATAGCATTTAGTGGACAAATTGATGCAGCTGGAGGAAGCAGGCGAGCGCCCGGGTGCACCTGGGGCTGGTGGGCAGGATGGAGAGCCTGGCTTGCGTCTCTGGTTTTTCCAGTTGCGTCAATTTAGCCTAATAAAGGTCATTACCTCTCCTTACCAGCCCTACCTCTCTCCGGAGCTTGTGGAAATTGCAGCCTCCCCGTTAGGAAGGCAGAGCCGAAGAGGCAGCCAAAACCAATTTCTCTTTCAAAGGAACCAAATAGGGTGAAATTGCCCATTTGGATCTCAAATCCATCGCTGACGAATAGTCTCCGAACCCTTGAGTGATCCTCCTTATCTGCCCACGCCAAGGCCCCCAGCCTCTCGCTCGGCGCTGCATCAGCCCAGACATCTCCAGCTCCCACCCACGGCTCCTCAGGATCCTTTTGCAGGCACAGATGGAGCCCTGGACCACCACGCTTGTCCTCCTCATCCCCTGCCACCGCAAGCCCAGCTGCTCGTGGAGCATGGGGTGCAGCAGGGCGAGCAGGATCAGCTCTGGGGCAGGAACTGGGGGAAAACCCTCAGGGTACCCAAGGCTGAGCTTCAGCTCCAGGAGGAGAGAGACTGAGGTGTCCAGAAGGAGTTGGAGACCACTCTTCAGCTCTCCACCTCCACCCAAAGTGGGGGCAAAACCCTCAGTGTTGTGGGGTGGGAAAGGCTCTTGGGTTGGAGCCAGTTCATGGTGAGGTCCTGGCAACAATGGGGTGTCCCAGCAGGGCTGGATGTCCTGGCAGGGGTGGGATGTCCCACGCTGTGGAACAGGACACCTTGAGTTTCATTCCAGGCTTCAGCACGAAGCCGAATTCCAGCTTGGTACCTCACTTTTGGGGGTAACCCCAAAAATGTGATGACCCAAAATGACTCATCTCTTTAACCCACCTTAGCCAGCGCCTCGGCGTCCCCTAGAAACGCCGACCCGGTGATCGAGGCTGGTAAAGGCACGAAGCAGAGCGGCGTTTCCAACCATGGCAGCGGTGGCTGCCAGGAGCGCAGCAAAGAAACCTGGGGACACAGGAGAGGTGAACCCCATCACCTGGGGACGGGGAACCCCTGCCCCGGCGTAGCCCCTTCTACTTGGGGGGAGCGAGCTGCGAGTGCCGGGGGCTGCAGGCTGGCTCGGGACTCTGTGAGCAGCTCCGCCACCCCCCATATCTCCACCACCCCGTTTCCCATTCCCACGGGATCTTCCCGTCCAGGGGAGCCCTGCCAAACTCCAAGCCTGCGGAGAGGTGTGCCTGCGGTGGCCTTGAAGTGGGTTAAAAAGGCTTCACGTCATGATTTTTTTAAAGGCAGCCGCGCTCGAGCAGAGCTGAGCGCCCGGGATGCAGCCAGGAGCGTGGCTTTTCTTAGCTTCGGTTTTGCTGAATAATAAAAGAAAAAAGACTGTTCCTGGGGAGAAGGGGACGCTGACGGCAAACGCTGCACCGGAGCCCTTGCGATGAGACGGACCTAGAGCATCCCTCGCCCACGGCAGCACCCCGGCGGGCGCCTGAGGGTCCAGCTCCTCCCGGCAATGGCACCCACCCAAAAACCAGCTCCCCCAGTCCCTCGTTGGGGCTGGGAAACCGGGGGCGAATTCTGACCCGGGGAAACACTGCCGGGAGCTTATTCTGCCCGTGCAGAGCCGTGCTGCAGCTGGGATGCTCGGAGGGCACTCTCTGTATACTCATATCGATATATATATGTACATCTGTCTCTATCTATAGCTGAATGAAATTAAAGTCACCCCAGGTCACCCCACCCCGCCCACTCCCACGACGGCAGCCCCCCACTACTCGGGGTGTGCTGGGGCTGGGGACCCGAACCTGCCGGGGCCGCAGGACCGACCGGGACCTCCCAGAGCGCT